CTGCTGCCGCAACGACCGGTACTTGCGCTGCGACGAAGCGATCGCGATGCCTACGCTACGGTTCATACAAGCCTGTTTGTATCGAACGCACCTTGCGCGACGTGGTCATGCACCGTAGTCGCATCGCTTCGAAAGAGACCGTGGGGAGGGCCGTTGCGCGAAAGCATGTACAGTCCCAGCACGATCCACACGAGGAGGTAGAGGTACACGGGTGCGAGGCGCAGCCAGCCGTACTCACAGCGACCCCAGTCTGCGATGGCACATGGACCCTCGTGGACGCCGCTAAAGCACCGGGGGGGCATTTGTGGTCGCGCGAAAATAAAATGTGTTGCACCTTGAAGTGGGTTTCCCGTACAATCGATTGTATTTAAAGAGCGCGCGATGATTGGCACTTGGTCGAGCAACACGGCGGTCACGCAATCGAGTTTTGGACGCTAACGTAGTTATTCTAGTTTTCGACCTTCGCTGAGCAGCCCGCTACGTCTCGCGCCTTTTTGGGTGTTTTGGGCGCGTAGGAAGTCGAAATTACGTAATCACGAAGGGGCGTATCTTGCGAGCCGTCGTAGAGCTAGAAGTCTCCATCTCGACTCCTACTAAGCCTCACCTCACCCGAGGTCCTGGCAGTAATGAAGGCATTACGCCCATTGCCCCCTGAGCAAGCTCGCCATTGTGAAATCGCCCTGAGCGAACAAGTCATGTGAAAAGTGAGTGCTTTTCTACACGTTGATACTACAGTGCCATGAAGGAAGCCAATGTTGATGACTAGCGGCGTCGCCACCATGCGCTCTTGTGCGTATTGGTAGTGGTGCCACGTACTAGTACTAGTACACCGCTGAGTGCGACTCTAAGAACTCGTTGATGGCCGGGTCCAATGCCGTCTCGACGTCGCCGTACGTACTCGAGCGTTGCGTGTTTCAACTCAATCGCATTCTGGATTCCCTCGGCAACACCAAAGTGCTCGGTTTTGACGGCAGTCGTCGAGTGCATCTCGTAGGCACAGACAAGGAACTCGATTAATTGTCGGCGACGGTCGCTGGTCGGCAGCGTCGAGGGCCTCTCGTTTGAAGATGGCTGGGGTCGCCTCGGGCGGTTGCGCCAGGGTAAATGGGGTACAGAAGGCAAAGGGTTGCGCGGCCAGACCCCGATGGACCGAATTGGATGTGGTGACATGACGATGCGCTCCGACGCACCTTCTCGATGACTACAAAATGTAGCGCTGTGCACAGCGTGCTGGATGAAACGAGCATGGTAGCTGACGCAGATGACACCCTTAGTCCTTGTCCAAGAAGAAGACAGCTTGACCACGTCCCATCGATCCACGAGAACTCAAATCGTGATCGACCTCGGTATGGACAAGGGGTGGGCCAGCAAAACAACTCGGAATTTGTATTGGTGTCAGCCAGGTACTCGTTATAGGCACTCGGCAACGTGATCCCCATGTAAGGGATCGTGAATAGATAGCAAACTCAGCGAGTTGCATAGACAAGAGTCTCGTTGGGATACACAACAGAGTGGCTTGAAGCCGCATATCCACTGTCAAGAGAGCACCTCCAGTGGCTCGTCAACCCACACAACATTGTTGTTTTTTGTTGGCCTTCCTTGTTGCACTCAGGCTTCTGTTGTTTTGTCCAGCCCCTCTCATTGGCTGTTTTCCTATCCGAGGCTAGGGGTTTCCGTCCACTTGGAGTTTGCCTACCGTAGTACGTATGACCCACAATATCCTAAATACATGCCGGGCCATTGACTACGGAGACCTCGGGATCTCTCACTTCTGGTTTGATTCGTCTGGCTTCCGCCCCGCTTGCCTCGTCTTTTTCCACTTAACTTTGTTCCTCAGCTTTGCGCATCGTGGTTGTCAAGCTGGCACTTGGGTATCGAAGCAAGCACAACCAGACGTTGTATAAAATATGTAGCACTACCTGCATTGTCGCAAGGTTGCACCAAGTCGCGGCCACAAACGGCGAGGTACGAGGCGGCGAGAGGGACCTTCTAACGAAACGCTATGTAGCCGCCGTCGACGGTAGAGAGCAGGGACTACAAAAAATCAGGAGGCCAAGGAAAAACGAGTCGATGCAAGCTGGCTAGGTACCCTATCCTTCGTCTGCGAGCTCGCTACAATCAAGCGATGCACCGTCTTGGGCGGCTCGTAAATGAGAAGGTAATGCATGATCGTTGGCGCCAAGGAATAATAGAAGTTTATTGTAGGGCTATCTGGGCTATCTTGGTTGGCGTGGGCGCTAACCTCATTGAACGTTCCCATTGTGCAAGTGACGGTTTTGGCAGGAAGCCGTTATAAAGGTAGGTTCGAACGCCCTTCCGGCACAAGATCCTGACGCTACCGGGTATGCTGTTGCTCGGAATTGTTCACTGACAGCTCTGCCCTAAAGAGGTACACTACAAAGTATGCAGGTAAATGCTCAGGGGGCGAATCGGACGCACTAGAGAAATATTTCCGTACTTGCGCCATAACCTCGATGTAAAATATGGACCCCAGCGCGTTGCGAATGCCCTACAAAGGTCCCAGAACGTTTGTCGGCATAAATTTCACACGCTGGTGGATGGCACGTCCAGTTAACTTCGGTTGTGAAGGAGAGGAACCATTCAAATGAACTTCTTTGTAGTATGATCACTATTAAATTGACGCCAGCACAACGTGTATGCAATTAGAGTTTCCGAAATGAACTCAAATAGCGCCGTTTATTTTTGGCGCCAAACCGTTTTCATGGATCAAATGACTTTCCGCGTTTACTGTTTCTATACCATGCGCCCGCGCTGCTTTGCCGCCGATGAAGCGAATGATACTGCAGCGTGTGCCGTCCACCACTGGGATGACTGCGGCTATGGCTGGCTACACCTTGCGCCCATCCTCATCTGCTTGTGTCTCTGGGTGCTCGTCGGCGTCTGGATGCTTCGGCCCCACGTCACTCTCCACGGCCTTCTTCGAAGCGACGCCGCCGGCGTCCACGACCCCATCGCGCAAGGTACGACGTGAGTACGTCAAAGTCGATAGTATGTTTTCGACTAGGGATTGCCATTGCCTTGTCCCAGCGCAAGTACCGGTCGTTGCGGCAGCAGCGCGTTCAGCGGGCGGTGCGACTGTTAGCCATGTGGGTCGAGCTGCCCGAGTTTGCACTGGTGCCGTTGGAGCTGGCCTTTCGCATCACGGGCCAGCCAGATGGTGTCGAGGCGCTCATGGCGATCCTCGAGTTTGCCAGCGAGGTTTGGTATCGAAAACATTGGGTTTGTCTCACTTCTTGCACGTAGGGCAGCACCATTGTCATGTCTTTGGTATGCGGCAGTGCCATGCTCCTCTTTCATTGGTCCAAGCGATGTAACTTGCCTTCGACCACTCTCGCAACGGAGTCGTGATGACGAAATGACCACCTAGGTCACGTGTTCCTCGACCGCATCGTGCACCCGCTAGCTTTGGATCTATTTTACATCCCCATGATCACGGCCTTCTTGCGGCTTGGGACGTGCCCAATGAGTGGCGAGCACGTTGTATTGCCCGGTGGAATTGCCTGCGACTGTGTCGACCGCTTTGGCTACTTTTGGGTGAGTTTTTGTACATTATTGTACTTGATTCGACAGACAATGTGTGTAGGCGCTCGGACTGATCTCGTTCGTCTTGCTCTATCGCAGCGCGTTGCACCACAAGATGAACGTCGAGCCGCTCGCAACAACCATGGACTTTCGTTTCCAGCCGAGCTACCAGTTTTTCATCGTCATGGCCCGGACACGTACGTACAGCCGTATCTTTCATAGTGCGCATTTAGCAATTTGGCGATGTAGTCAGTCCCATCATGTCGATTGTGGCCAGCAACGTGATTGCCAGCCGTAATGGAACGATCGGTCTCCTCACTGGTCTCCTATTTGTCTGGAGCTTTCTTCTCGAGTACTCGTACCGCACCCAGCCGGTACTTGTCTCATGCATTCGTACCGTTTTTCCGTGACAATATTGTCCACATATTAGTGCATTGGCAGCGGACGTGTCCCCAACAACATTCGCGTACTCGCCTTCTCGAGCGCCATCTACACAACGCTCGCGTCCATTGGTGTCTTGACGACCGATGCGAGCATCTCGACGCTGCTTTGGACACTCGTACCGCTGCCAATCATCGGTGTCGCTGCATGGAAGATCAACGACCGCCGCGCGCGCTTGTTTCACATTCCCAACGTCTCGATTGTCGAGCTGTTGAGGGATGAATCACCGGCGATCCAGTTGGTCGGCGTCGTCGCTGCATTGTACGCCAACCCGAACCGCGTCGTACAGACAGACCACGAGAAGCTTTTGGTGGAGCTACGTCGGCTTGCACATGGCCCGATGCACACTTCGCTGTGTCGTTTGTATGCGCTGCGGACACTATGGTTTAGCCACATTGAGGTATATAGCATTTTCCTGTTGCGTGTATATGATGTAAAATGCTATTGTAGAGCTTTGCAACGCTATCGCGTGTGACTGGTGACGCCAAGACAGCAGTCCCACCCAAGTACTGGCTCAAGGACCGGGCCAACAACGACCGACCGCCGCGTCGATCGTACGTTCGACACAAGTATGTCAAGTTGACCGCCGACAACATTGTACTGCAGCCGCGACTCGTGGCACCTCGGTCGTCCATATCGTTTATGCTCAGCGATATGCAGCAGCGTATCCAAAGCCAAAAGAAGAAACAGATAGCCTCGGTTCGGTGCTCCACAAACACAAGCACGACCGCGCCCAACGATACGACACCTTGTTATATCGTCGTCATCTGCGATAGTCCGTGGCTCTCTCTCTATCAACCCCCCGACGACGCCATCGCGACAGCCAACGACCTCTTTCGCTTGGCGCTCGATATTTGGACTCAAAGCATTGCGCTTCACGACCGCGTCGCCATGCGTGAGTGTGCGCTCTTTCTACTCCAGTGGTACCGCACTGGCCACCTGTACCTCCAACCCGTCATGTACCTCCAGATCTTATCGGCGCTCTGCATGGTCGGCACCACCAAGCACATCATCGATGCCACCCACAGCTTGTACAACGCGACGCTCGACAAGGTCACACCCGTGAGTCTCTGGCTCGGGCACCCCGGGTGCATCGACCACTTTGCCTTTGCACTCAAAGTGCAAAGTCGATCGACGGTGACCAAGTGTGCCTCGATACTGGCGCTGATTGTGG